TTTTTTAGGTACTGGGAATCAAACTCAGGACCTTGTGCTTGCCAGGCAGGCACTTGTGCCACTGAGCTATATCTCTAGCCCCTGACTTTTTTCTTTTTAAACCCCTGTAGTAGGGATTGAACCCAGGGCCTTCACACTGAGCTACACCCCTAGCCCTTTAAAAAGTTATTTGGTTTTTATTTATTTTTGAGGTTGGGTATGGTAGAACATGCCAGTAATTCCAGTACTCAGGAAGCTGAGGCAAGAGGATCACCTCAGCTTTGAGGCCAACCTAGGCTACACAGTGAATTCAAAGCCAGCCTGAATTACAGAGTGACGGTTTGTCTCAAGAAAAAAAAAAAAATTTTTTTTAAAATGTTGAGACAGGGTCTTGGTAAGTCACTAAATTGCCCAGGGTGAGCTCAAAACTGGCCATCCTGCCTCAGCCTCCCAGAGTGCTGGGATCACAGGCATGCGCCACCATGTTAGGCCATGTCCTGGTGAGCTGAAGAAACAGAAAACACCCGTTTCCCCTTTCTGGGAGGGGGGTTTCCAAACCAGGCTCCCCAGGCGAGTCTTGCCCGGGCGGGCGTTGGGGTTGTCCCCGGTGGGACTAGCAGAGAAATGTGCTTTCCTCGTATCCCGGCTAGAAGGAACCCCAGGCGGTACAGCCGGCCGCCACTGCGCAGCAGAAGCAGAGTCCTGTTTTGCTTGCAAACTCGAAGCAGCTCAGCGTAGGGGGCCAAGAACAGGGTGGAGATCTGAGAGCAGGCAGGGCTCCGTGCACCCCTGGGCTGCAGCTGGTCCTCTGGGGGTGCTGGGAGGGGTATGTGTGGGTGCAGGGCCTCCCAGCAGCCGGAGCAGGAAGCTGGGGGCCTGGGGGCCTGGGGAGGGGGTCTCTGTCCTGCTGACTGGAGGAAGCAGCAGCAGGGGCAAAAGCCGCGTACAGCGCGGGGTCCTCACCTCCCCCCAGAAGCGCTGTGTCCCAGCGCCCGCTCAGCTCTGGGGCCGTGGGAGCTCCCCTCCCGCGGCGTGACCCCCTGCCCTTCAGGGGCCCCGGGCCCACACGGAGCTGGGGATTGTCACTTCGGAGTCCCTGTCTGTGTCTGGCCTGGGCTCTGCCAGAGAGCTCGGGAGGTCCTCTAGGGCGGGCGTGGCGCAGCGGGCGAGGAATTTCCCTGGAAACGGGAAGTACAAGACGTGTCAGTGTGGGGTCCCAGCAGGGCCGAGAGGAGAGGCGGGGTGAGAGGAAGAGGCCCTCGTGGCGGAGACTTCAGCTTTCTCCTGCACAGCGCCTGGCCGCCTCCTACCTTGAGGGCTCGTGCTGTCCCTTCTCTGTGCTTCTCTCAGGCCCCAGGGACTCGGAAGGACCATTCTGTGGCTGGCTTCGGAGAGGACAAGGAAAACCATTAGCTGCGCGCCTCCTTCCAGGCACACAATCTCGTTTCACCGGCAGGCGGATGACATGGAAACTATTCCTCTCCCTGCTGACTGACTGGGAAACTGAGGCTTTTTGTTGGTTTGCTTTCTGAGGTAGGGTCTTCCTGTATACTGCAGCCTGGCTTTGAACTGATGGTGTAGCCCACTTGTGGCAAGACAGCAATCCTCCTGTCTCAGCCTCCCCAGTGCTGGGATGACAGCCGTGCACCACCACACCCGGTTAAAATGAGGCTTATCATGGGACAGAGTGGTTGGTAGTCTAGGTAGGCTCCCGGTGATAGCACATGACAAACACAGACTTGAGTCCTGATTTGGAACACAGGGAGGGTCCAAGGTGACTGTCTAGGGGATAATGGGTCAGAATTTTAGATAATTCAGGACATATACTACACTACTTGATACTTTGGCAGAAAAATGAGCCGTGGCTTGTTTTATTTATTTATTTATTTTGGTGTTTTGAGACAGGGTCTCACTATGTAGTTCAGATTGGCCTTGTATTTGCTATACACCCCCGGCTGTCCTTGAACTTGTGGCGATCCTCCTACCTCAGCCTCCCAAGTGCTGGGATTACAAGTGTGTGCCACCACACCCGGCCTGAGCAGTGGCTTCAGAGCCAGCATTTATACTGCCAGTTTTGGTTTCTGGCCAAGGAACTTCACCATTTCAAGCCTCAATTTCCATCTCTACCAAATGGGGTCTAATTTGCCCCCCCCCCACACTTTCTTTTAACCTACAAACACTCAAGCTGCTTCAGGCCTCAGGACCTTTGCACGTGCTGTTCCTTATGTGAGGAACCCTCAGCCTCCGGATGGTCACAGGTGTGCCTGCTGGTGTCCTCTAGGTCTCAGCTCAGGCTTGGTCTTCCTTGAGCAGCCTTTTCTGCCACTCTCAATTGCATCACTGTTTTAGTTCCTCCTTTGCGCTGAGCATGGTCTGAAATTATCTCACTAATTTGTTTCATTTCTTTGGTTGTTTATGGCCTGTCCTCTGCTCTACCAGCGAGCGCTGGGACCTCCGCAGGGCTCACTGGCCTGGGCTCAGCTCTCAGAGCAGCACCTGGCAAATATCAGAGCCTGCTAACCACTTACGGATGAATGAATGACTGAGCTTTGGAGACAGCATTATGTTTAAGTGACGAACTCTCTCACAGGCCTCCCTGAGCCAAAGGGCAGTAAATGCGTGTTAATGGAGGCTTGGAGAACACTTTGGGCCTGGCCCACACCCAGCCCTGTAGCTCCCGGCTGCGGGGAGCCATGAGGCTGCCTGGGCTTCCGGCTGCTGCAGGATAAAGGTCAGCCCTTTGCTGGAACACGAAGTACTGCACCATCTGGGCCTGCCTGCCTCTGGCCTCCTCTCCCCGGGCTCCCCAACCTGGACTCCATGTCCAGCCAGACCAAACAACTCCCAGTGCCCGCCGGGGAACATGGACAGCTTCACGCCTCTGTGCCTTTATATACACTGTTCCTTCCACCTGGAACACCCTGCACCCTCGACGGGCCTGCCCGGCTCCCTGCAGACCTCAGAGGAGCCCTCCCTGAAGCCTCTGTTTGGGCCACACCCAGTCCCCAGCTTCCCAAAGCATCATCCTGATGTGCTTCCAGGTTTTACGCCCCTAGGTTGAAGCACGATGCCTCTTACACGCAGCGGGTGCTAATCAATGCAGAGGCAGAGCTTTTGGCCTTAGGTGGCGATGCATTAAGGAACATAATTCCGGAGGTATACAGTGGGTGCTCAGTAAGTGCCCACTGAACTCATGGGCCCACGTGGCCTGGTACGGCAGGGGCCTGGCGAGGGCGGACGGGGATGGAAGGATCTTCCTCAGAATCAAGGTGGTATCTGGTGAAAGAAGGCAGAGGGACACCGGGACCTTCTCAGGGGACTGGGAATACTTTTAAAAAACAAAAATAAAAGTAAACACAGAGGAGTGGCGGCATATAAACAGAACGCCGAGGGAGCGAGGAGAGAAAGAGGGAAGGATAAAAGAGGAAGAAGAAGAACTCACAGGAAGCAGCCGAAGCTTGGAGAGGACACCGTGTACCCAGGAGCGCCACCGAGGACAGGAAGCCCGAGACCAGGACGGGCTGACTAAGTACGGGGCGTCTGGTGGCCCTGCTCCAGTGCCCTGGGGTGGATGCGTGTGAGCAGTGCCCTGTTGTGACCCCCTGTGGAGGTGACAGGGCTGCTCAGGAGAGTCCAGGCAGCGATCACCAGCCCCCCGGGAGCACTTGGGGCTGTGGCTTGGTCCTCCCAGCAGGGGAGGCGTGCTGGGCCCCAGGGAGCGTTCAACTCGGAAGGAGGCAGGACAGGTAATTAACTTAGGGTTGATTTTTCCCAAAGCCTGCTATGGACAGGTCCTGAGAGAGGCCGTGTCACCACCGCGTGCCACACACAGAGCTGGCGCCACCCAGCCTTGGCTCCTGGTTTTTGGATCCCAGGGCCGAAGCAACACAACGAGGTGGTTTCTCTCTGGGTGAGGGGTGAAGGGCGGCGGGCAGGCCAGCTGGCCAGGAGTCAAAAGAGCCCACAGCCGCTGGGCCTGGCCACCTAGCTCCACCCCACCACGGAGGCGTTGTGGGTCTCTAGGCTTCAGGAACGCTGTCACCTGCTTCTTCTGGGAGCCAGGCCAGATTGAAACATGAACTTGATCACACCTCAGAACATCCTTAAGGAATCACCCAGGGTCCAAACCCATCTTGCAGCTTCAGTTAGGCCTGTGTGACTCCCACAGTGGGTGGGTGCTTCCCTGCCCCCTGCCAGCCCCCCACCCCCGCCCTGTCCCCTGGGACACTGGAGGACAGCCATGGCAACCCCATCCGCCACTCTTGGGGGCAGCTTCTGAGCAGCCTTCGCTGGTCCCGCTGGGCTCAGGAAAACTGCTCAAGTGCTGGGCAGACAGGGTGGCAGGGAGAGAAGGCGCAATCTCCAAGGTCCAGACAACCTTCAGACCCAGGCTGCAGTCTCCCATGATGGGAGCAAGCAAAGAAGCCAGTGGGCTTCCCCTTCTGCTCCGGGGCTCTCTCTGCAGCCCTCCCCCCCATGGGGACCATGGGGACAGAGACTCATTTCATGATCTGCTGGGGGGCTGGGGGAGGTGGGCAGATGAGAGCTGGGGGGGTGACTGACAGCAGGATGCCACGGCTGAAGAAGGAAGTATAAATATAAAGCGGCCAGTGTAGGACTGGACAGAGGCCATGTGAAACACACGGTACATTCCGGCCCCAGCGTAACAAACTGTACCAGCCTTTTAGAGGGCTGGGAGCCCTGAGGAGGGCGGGAAGAGAGCAGAGGTTCCTTGGAGGTTGGCCCACTTCTCCCCCAGCTCAGGCACCACAGGGAAAGTCCCGCTGCTCCCTCTGCAACCGCAGGAAGCCATCCCCGTTCACACTCTGTACCCAGTGTTCCTCTGGGCCGCTCCAGGCTGGGAGGGCAGAGGGTGTGCATGGGAGGTGGAGGGGCACGCAGGCAGCCAGGCCAGCCCAGGTGCCATCAGCGGAGGTGGCAAGCATCCCGACACGGATGCCCAGAGCCACAGCCTGTACCAGCGGGGCTGAGGAAGTGCCTTGCCCAAGGTCACACAGCCAGTTGTTCAGCAGGGTGGGACCGCAGTGCATCCAGAATTGGGCCGAGCCGGGCGCTCTTGGGTGTAGTAGGTAGGAGGGCAGGCCAGGGAACAGGCAGTGCCCAGGGACAGAGGGTGGAGAGGCCACAGCCAAGGCTGCCCCCTGTGTGCTTTGGTTGGCTCTGGGGGGGCCAGGCTTGGGCACTGTCCCCGGCCCCCCCCTCAGCCTTCTCTCTCCTAAGTATCAGAGATAATGCATGTAAAGTGCCCAGCATGAAGGCCGTTTTGTGGTGATGTCAACCCCAATGAGTCACCTCCACCCCACCCCTCCCCTGTCCTCCTACACAGTCAGCAGAGGCCCAGCACCTCCTGGGATCCTCCCCCATGGCCGCCTCCTTCCCTCTGAGTCCCGATAGCTGTCACCCACATTTGGTACTTACCACCTGCTGGCCCCGGTTATTATTTAACCCCACACACCCTGTGTTTGTCTCTGCAACTGGCCTGACAACTGCCGCAGTTCAGGAAATCATTTCAATACACCCCGTATTTATTGAACACCAACTCGGGTGCTGGCCTGGCCTGGGAGAGATGAACCGGCGGTGGGGGGCGGGGAGGAGGCCCCAAAGAAGAAGCAGACTTTGTTTCTGCCTCAAGGACTTTCTAATCTGGTTAGGACAAGATTAGTAAACAGATCACTAGAAGAGGAGACAGGGCACACATTGTGCTTGGGAAAGGTACAGACTGATTGTGCTAGGCCTGGGGATGAGAGGGGAATCCGATTGGGCTGGCCCCGTTTCAAGGGCGCTTTGTGAACTGGAGCTGGACGGCTGCTGAGGCACGAGGACGGCACTGCTGGCAGGGACATGGCAGGGACATGGCGTGGCAGATGTGGAGAGAGGAAGAGGGTAACAGCAAGGCTTTTAGGAATCGTGTCAGACGCCTCAGGATCCCTTAGCAGGACCCACGACCGCGCATACAAATCATGCCTCCCTCTCTGGACTTTGGAGAGGGTGGGACCTTTAGGACCAGCACTGCAGACAGATGGGCAGGGAGAAATCCTGGTTCTGAATGAGTTTCGGGTGTGTGGCTCTTCAAAGGGGAGGGTCAGGCTTTGGAGGCAGCTTGGGGTCGTCTTTCCCCACCCTGCCCCCTACCCTCACCCGCCGGTATCTGAACTCTCCCCGCTTCCAGCGTCCTGCCAGGGTTTTCCCAAGCTGTCCCCCAGGGCCGGGCTCGGTTTGCCGGCGCTGGGAATCCCTGGAGTCCCCGCACTCGGGGATCCGGGAAGCGGGAGGCGCTCCCCGGGGGCGGGAATCGGCTCCCTCAACGCCGGCTTCCGTTGTCACGTGGCTGCACCCCAGGTGTCGCCCGCCTGCCTCCTTCAGACCCCTGGGCTGACAGCTGGGAGGGAGGGGCACACCGGCGGCGGTCTGGGCGAGGGCTGCTCTCCCTGCCGGACGCCCCCCATCACCTGCGCCCCCAACGGTGCCCATCCGGGGCCCACACGAGTCTGGGGGTCCCACCCAGGGCGAGGCGGCCACGGGGAGGTCTGAGCGCTCCGCCGCTGGCGAGAGCGCGGGGCGGCGCGGCGGGGACCCTCGCGTCCCGAGGTGCCGGGG